TATATGACATAATTTAGACAAAAAAAAGTAAGTTAACCTAACTCATGCTACAATTGCATTGTATAAATAATAAAAATGGCTTTTCATAATTTGAAAGGGCAGCACCCAAAATTTGATTTCATAGTGAAAATAACTAAAAGTCATTGATTATAATTACATTTTTAAAGTAAAGTTTTTTTTAATCTAGTTCTAATCCTAATCTCATACTATTATAGAAAAGTTTGATATATGAAAAATAGTGAATATATAGGATAAATCTTCAATTTCATCATGATTCTATCATGAAACGTCAATATTCTGATTAAAAATTCGATGAAAACAACAAAATTAATATATCATATATTATATTTTGTTATTTATGTATAACTAATTAAATATTGTCAATGCCCATGGAATCAAAACATTACTCTTTTTCCCTATAATTGCTGCAAAATTTAAGCCGGATATTTAGTACTAATTATTAATAACATTTGTTTTCCAGTATTCTCTATGATAAATTATAATTCTTGTTGTTTTCTTTTTCGACAATAATTATCGTTATTATTATTATGAAAATAATTATGAATTTTAAAACGACAATCATAGCCTGATTTGATTACGATTTTATTTTGTTACAGAAAGATATTAAAAATTCTACTTTGAATTGTTTTGTTTTTAAAAATTAAGTTTACTCGCCAACAATTTCTTTACTTTTTTCTCAAAAAAGTTATAATAAAATTTTAAAGAGTAGTTTCTAAAATTAATTGTTTATAATTGTTATTTTAAAATTTTTACTAAGATTTCAAGAATGTTTCTAGAAAGAGTAAAGTAAAAAAGAATGACATGAAAGGGTTTGAATGATAGATTAAAATGAAAAATTGAAAATGATTCTTTATGTTACCTTACATTTTAATTGAAAATATTTTATTTCAAAAGAGTAAGTTTTTTGGGACTTAGGTGTCATTTTCAAAAATAATTTGTTTTGAAGAAAAAATAAAATTTTTTAATGCAAAAGCTCATTTGATAAGATAATTTCTATTTTTTTTTCTTTTCAAATTTATATTTAAAATGGAGGGCGTGCGGGTAATGGGCCAAACAAGAATGGAACATAAAGGGCCCACAACATTATTAGACCTTTTTTTACACAATAATTCAGCCCATACACCCCCAACCACGTGGGCCCTCTCCAACCTCCATAATATTTATTTAAGCGGAAAATTTTCATTCTTTTCACCTCCTTACTTTTAACTTTTAACTTTCTAAACTTTAATAAACGGTAAAATTAACGGTACCAATCAATTTCTTTTTTCTTGAGTTTAAAAGGGAGTGGAGGCGAACACCTTTAAGAAACGTTAGAATAATGTGTTCACTAATTGAGTTATATTGTCAATATGTTAAGTGTACGTCTTTTTGTGGGTACTAATTCTTTTGGTTTTGTGGGATACTTTATAAATAAGGTTTAAAATTATGTTGTCGAGTTTGAGCTTTTTGTTTTAATTTTTTACTATTGATTTTTTTTACTATGATGGAGTATTTTTGTGATTGGATTTGAGCATTTTTTAGCTTGATATTCTAATTGGTTTGTTTGTTAGATTTTGCTTGATTTATTTGTTTTTATAAGTTTTTTTTAAATATATTAATTTTACCACTTATTCAAATTCAAGTTCTAAGTGTGGAAGTAACTTTAGAAAATGAAGAATCTATTTCCATCTTTATCACAATTCAAAATTCGAATTTTGTTGTCAACTTAAACATAATCCAACTGGGTAAGACACCTATTTTCAACCAATAAGTTGTGAGTTCGAATCACAACTCCACGTGTTGTACTAGAAATATTTATGATCTAAATAATAGAAATTTTGAAAATAACATATAATAAAAATTTTATTATAATTCTACAAAATATATAGGAAACTAAAATCACATAAATAATATTTCTATTTCGATTGAGTTTTTGGCTTAAACAAAAGTGAAACTAACCCAAAATCATAATTCCCCAGTAAATAAGTATTAAAGAAATTGAGAGGAGAGAGAGAGAGAGAGAGCAAAACGACAGTGGATTGGGAAAAATTTTTTGTGAAAGAGTACAGTACGGAAGAGGGGTCCGTCGAGGAAGGAAAACGACGGGGGAAAGAGAAATAACTATCAGAATTAAATTAACAGTGGTTTGGATCACCCGCGGGTGACCGTGACCCAAAAGTTATACCCCCGTAACCATCACACCATTAAATTCCCATACGTGTGGTGTCTCTCATCTCACTTCTCAATTCTCCCAAAAAAAATAAAAATAAAAATAAATAATTTCTATCAAAAGTGTGGGCCCTTTTCGTCCACCGGGTCCCACCACACGAAGGATGGCATCTGTGAGTTGGCATTGGTTGCTTACCTGGCATTGGGTCCCACCGATGCTTTTTATATTTTGCTAAGTAAATTTAATTGGAGAATAATACACTTCTTTGTCTGCCATCCTAAACACATCCCATCCACCATAACATAACATAACATAACATAACATAACATAACCATAACATCATCATCATCGTTATAGACTAATTATCAAGTCTTGACGATTGGATTTACTAAACATGATCGTCAATATTTATAGACTAATTTTTAAATTTAACCTTATATTTCAAATCTTTGGTTAATCCATCCTTT